ACCTTTCATTCTTTATTGGTCTTAGTCTTGTAAACCCATTTTACTCCAGTTGGGTTATGACCTTCTGGTTGTCTTGTTAGCTCCCATGTATAATTTCTTTCTATTGATGCAATTTTTTCATCCATTGCATTCCTCCATTTGTCATCTTCAACCGCTTTTTCATATTTTATTGGATCACTATTCACAAGTAAATAGAAAAGTGAAACATTATTTAATTCATAATCGTTGTACCTTTTTAGCATTCTTCTCTCTCTTGTGGATCTTCGAACTTCTGTGGGAGGTGCTTCAGAATCTTCTATTATATTGCTGGCATCTCTGTTGTTGCTTGACGACGATGGTAGAATTTGTTGAGGACCTTGATCATCAGCTTGTTCATCTGAATTGATAAGATCATCATCTTTATCTTCATTAAAAAAGAGTCATTCAACTTTCTTTTCCTCTTTGCTCCATCTGCAATATTCTGCTTCATCAAACTCTACATACTCTTCCAACAGCCATTACGAATGACGCATGCCATCCTTGCTTTAAGCCAAAAATTTCCAGAAGGCCATCATCGACATTGGCTTCAATGAACCCTCTTTGGAAAAAAATAAACAGAACGTCTAAGGCACTCCTTTTAGGTTTGGAATTCAATCAAGCCCGTCGATAAGCTTAGTACACTAGTAACCTGAGAAATGTACCATACCTTATCCAGATACGTCTGTCTTAGAGTACCTCATGGATTCCTTCCACTTCCATAATTATGAAGATTTAAAGCAACAATAGCTCTTACACTAAAACAAAATAGCATAACATTAGAGAGCAATTAAATCATAAGTCATACAAAGTAACTTTAGAAATATAGCATGTTGCAGGAGGTTCAGTAAAAGAAAAATACTTTGAAATCTACCTTTTCGGTACTAGTACCGACACCCATCCTATGGAATTGACCTTTTTAACTTGTATCCTTAAAATGTTCTTGAGTCCCCTACTGCATATAGAAACATATTCTCATTATTCAGAAAATTTAATACATCCATTGCAGGATAAGATGAATGATAAGGAAGTATAGTAATATTTCGCCTCAAACTCGGATCAGTCGCTCATGGTGTTAGAAACCAGCCCTGAGAACAACCGTAAGTCGAGTAGATAAGCTGTCACAAAGGAGGGGTCAATTACACTGTTGTTTTAGTTTTATCAAAAGGCAAAACATATACCGAGCAGATAAGTAAATCCAAATACCTTATTTGATATTGGACCTAATACAAGGTAAGGTCTCTCATTACGTAAACTATGGAATCCATAAGCTACTTGTGCATCCATTCCTGAATAATAATGATGATGATAAATGGAAAAACTCCATAAGTAAGAAAATTGGATTTCACTGTAATTGTCAAGTTTATAAGATACAATTATACCTATGCTAAAGTAATTGTAGAATACTCCACTCCATTTCACTGTTGGTAAATAAAATGAGAACGAGTAATTTCTCTATAACCAGATTAGTGAGAATGCGAAAATAAAAGCGGAAAAATAATACCCGAAATTGATAACGGAGTTCAGCCAATTATTCCTACGTCTCCAGATTGCTGCAAATCTTTTACTAAAGAGAGAAAATTTACAGGTGTTTACAAAACACTCACAACTCACAAGAAATATCTCTAGTATTGGGAGAAAGAAATGATTTGGGATGATATTGAAGCTAAATGGGTTAGAGTATTTATAGTTGAAAATTAAGGACTAAGCTTTGAAAATACCCTAAACTGTAGGGATTAAAGTACAATTATCCCTTAAAAAATCAACATATCATGCTCATTTTTTTACCATTTTTCGGTGCATTTAAAGCACCGAAAAAATAGTTTGACTTTTAACAATCTCACACTTGAAGACTGATTTTAATCTGTCTTCACACCTCAATCAATGCAGCAGCATTTCTAGTCTTGTTACTCTAGCATATCAACTGAAGCTGAACACCACTTCAGTTTGTCCGTAGTCACCGTCCTGTAAACCCACTTGTTATGAAGCGCTTTCTTGTCTGGTGGTAATACAGTTAATTCCCACATCTGATTTGACATAAGCGAATCCATCTCATCTTTCATGGAAGACTCCCACTCGAATCTGGCTTCTTTTGGATCGTTTATTACAATTCCCGTGAACCACCGTGTATTAGAACACCTTCGTCGACAAACTCGTATCGCCGACCAAATTTTACTATTTACTATTCACTTAAATAGTAACCTAGCAGAAAAACTAACAAAATTCACAACCAAAAGCTCATGATACCAGTTGTTGGGAAATAAACGAATAACGAGTAATTTCCCTATAACCAGATTAGTGAGAATGCGAAAATAAAAGCAGAAAAATAATACCCGAAATTGATAACGGAGTTCAGTCAATTATGTCTACATCTCCGGACTGTTGTATATCTTTTACTAAAGAGAGAACATTTACAGGTGTTTACAAAACACTCGCAACTCACAAGAAAGCTCTCTAGTGTTGGGAGAAAGAAATGATTTGGGATGATATTGAAGCTAAATGGATTAGAGTATTTATAGTTGAAGCTTAAGGACTAAACTTTGAAAATACCCTAAACTGCAGGGACTAAAGTATAATTATCTCTTAAAAGATCAACATAATCATTCTTCTTTTTTTACCATTTTTCGGTGCATATTCGGTGCATTTAAAGCACCGAAAAATTAGCTTAACTTTTAACATTCACTGTCTTAGGAGCCTCCTCGTCAAACTCCATATCCTGCAGTCACGGAGAAGATCAACGGCGCTTGATTAACATCGATGTCTAAACAGAGAGGTTCACTACCTGATCGGTCTCACACTCTTCTTAGGGCTTCAAAGTATGGGGAAGATCAACGGCTTTGCTGGTAAGCATTTCCAACGTGACTTGCCAACTACAACATCAAACAAACACATTTTCGATTGTAAGCAACTGAAACCGAAAGGGTTCTCCGGTTGTGGATAATCAAACTCGTAAAATGCAGTCACCTAAAAACCCGATCGTTATGTAATGAATGTATCCATGCTTACCTATCTAAACGGCAAATCGGACCACTTGCAGCTCTATGTAGGATTCTTTACTTAGTGATTTCCATCGAATCCTATAAGGAATATCTTTACCCAACCGAAACTTCTAGCCAAATCATTGCCTGTACCAAGTGGAATGATAGCCACAGGAGGAATCGGCTCCCGACCCGTTCGGTGAAGTTCTTCGAGACATCCAAGTTCGAAAGGAATTAGAGACAATTAATGGTCCAAATAAGAGGTTAACGGGTTAGAGACAAAAATTGTCGAGTTGGAGAATTAGAGGAGTTAATTGGGGAAGTGGTCGTTGTTGTTGTTAGATAAGAGAGGAGTAAAAAAGAGAACCCATGACATGATTAAACAATAAGTCCAGTTCTTTGGTGGCATGGAGGTGAAGAGGACGTTGCTGGTCATCTTTCATGATGGTTTCCTTAGTTGAATTTTTGGTAAGGAATAAAATTCGAAAGGAATTTTTCTCTGAAAGATTAAATGAAAAATGTGAAAGATTCATCTGATATTTATAGGCTACTGAGACTGTTAAAGTTCGAATATTTTAGATGATAACAGCTGATTATTAGTTGTCTGAAATTAAATAAATTAAACAATTATTTTTCTAAATTAAATCAGAATTTAAGATGTATTGGACTGATTCCAGCTTTGTTCAGGGAGAGACAACTGTTAATATCAAGAGTTACAGAGTTATATGATTTAATTTCAGGAGTTATAATGTTTAATTTTATGCAATGAACATGGACTCATTTTTTAGCCAGATTCATCAAGAGGAGTTACAAAAGGGTTTAAATTCATAATTAAAATCAAATTTAATTTGATTTTCTTGTTGGACGAATTTACCCTTACCTCTAACCTATAAATAGAGAGCTGAATTCAGCTTCTCAACACACACTCTCTACAATTAGAATTCACTCTCCAAGTGTTTTCTAAAGTTGTTATCTCCGTGCTTTCCGATCAAAAGTGCAATACTACCAGCAGTCCACTCCGATTTCGGGTGTACGAAATTCGGAGTGACCGTGTTAATCTCGGGGGACAGTCCGCCTAGTGCAACGATTACACACATCGGGACGAATTCGTTTCTAAGGCAGTAGTTAATACCACGACATGGTTAATATGTTCTTTATTTATATATTTCAATATATATCTTTCTTGTCAGTGCTAATGCCCGTTTTGCAGCAGTCTATTTTGCCAACGATATGTATGATAATTTCATTTATCATCTTCTTATTTGAACTGACCGGCAAGTTGTAGCCTTATTTTTTGGGTCGTAATATTAATGATGATTATCATAATGATTATATTTCAAAAGTGAAACACTAAGCGGTGATTCAAAAATTGCCGAGTTGGAGAATTGGAGGAGTTAATTGGGGAAGTGGTCGTTGTTGTTGTTAGATAAGAGAGGAGTAAAAGAGAGAACCCATGACATGATTAAACAAGATGAGAATAATGTAAGTGGTGGTATTAGTGAAGAGCTTGGTGATGGAAAGTCTAGTTCTTTGGTGGGTATGGAGGTGAAGAGGACGTTGTTGGTCATCTTTCATGATGGTTTCCTTAGTTGAATTTTGGTAAGGAATAAAATTGAAGTTGAAGAGGTGATCGATCGATTAACATGGAATTCATCGGACTCTCCAATATGATAATTAATGGTCCAAATAAGAGGTTAACGGGTTAGGTAAGTTTTTCGTCACCCAAATTAACAGCTGTTAACGTCGAGTGATCAATTCATTATAAATCGATAACGTTAGTGATCAATTTGTAAATTTTGAAACTTCAGTAAGCAAAACAAAAAGTTGATCAAATAGTAATGACCATTTGTATAGTTTACCCTTTTATAACCGAGAACCAAACTCAAACCCTACAACAAAGTTAAGCTGTCAACTGATTAAGTGCTTGTACTTATTTTACTTCCACGGCCGAATGGGAGTGAAACTAGGCATACACACACACAATCTTAGCTGCCTCTCCCTTTTTAAGCTGCCTGTGTCTTGTACTACAGAAAGTCAAAATCTTTCCTTTCTTTGTTCCCCTCTGTCGAGCTGGAGTTTCCTGCTATTTTAACCAGGTACTTTCTTTTTTTCAACATCTCCTAATATATCTGGTGGCTACTCTTCCTGCTGTTACATATATGGTTGAATCTCAAAAAAGTGATGCTGTCTTGTTAACATTATGGTGTGCTCCTTGCCCTCTAGGCTTATATAGAGCAGTTTTTTTTTGCAATAACCATTGGTGAAAATAAAAAAAAAATGGGCTCAGCTGTTTTGAGTTGTAATTCTTCTAGCATCTCAAGGTTTTCAGATTTTAAAAATGTTTTTTCTGCAGCCTAATCAATCATATGACAAGTGTAAAGTTTTAGACAAAGTATTTGTTGATGTTCTATTGTTTCTGGGTCTTCAAAGTGCGTATATATCTGCATAAATGTATAGCATGGAAGACCTAAAATGTGCTGCATAAACTATGCAAAAAAGGAGGTGGAACATCTGATATGAAGAAAACTTGTTCCATTCAGGGGCCACTGAGAGAGGAATTCACCTTTCCTCCGGTTCTGCTCCCTTCAAAAGTTGTCATGCGTCACTATCGTGAGGTTATTCCTCTACCATTACTGAGATTATCTAATTTTGGACCTCCTGAAATTTTGTAATTTCACACCCTTATTTCTAATATAACTTTCTAAGTTCACAACTCTGACATAAATTCGTTGGTTCCGTCCCTGAATGATGAGAGTGCGCATGTTCGTAGTTTATAATTTGTAGTGTCCTTTCTCAATAGAATTCTGACATTTAATTAGTGCAGGTTGAAAAAGATTTTTTGGTTGCGTATTTTGGAGGCTCCTATGAAGGAGCACCTGATGTGAAAATTTGGTTGCAGAAATACAAAGTAATGTCTCACTCACTGGCTCTCTGCCGGCTCATATAGTATGCTTCTTGAGATCTCTATTTTACACTACATGATTACATATCCGGGTATTGTTTTGGCAGGATGGCCACTGGTTTCCGCCTGTTGTTATCGACGAACAACCCGACGTTCCGATGTGGAACCCTGTGCTATTTAAACTTCCATCACAGGAGCTGTTGTTATTCTATAAAGTTGGCCAGGAGGTTCAAAAGTAAATTCCTAGCCGCTTTTATGATTTTCGAATACGTGAATTTCGTCACAACTAATGTCCATTCTTCTTATATGATCTACTCTTTTGCTGTAACGAAATCCAGGTGGAGCGGATGCATGAAGCGATCGTATGATAAAGGTGTTACATGGACAAAGAGAGAGCAACTTCCTCCTGGCATACTAGGACCTTCTAAGAACAAGGTGTGATGTGAACATAATTTGTTATTACATTTACCCTGTATTTAGTATACTTTCAGTTGTGAAGTTCGGATAACAAGTATCCCGACGATGTGTCGCTTGCTTGTCTGAAGCCTATCTTGCTGGAAAATGGACTTTTGCTCTGTGGATCATCAGTAGAGAGTTGGAATTCTTGGGGTTCATGGGTGGAGGTTGTGATAACTGACCCTTACGTTAATTGTTACACTCCGTTGATGTTTGAAAATGCAGTTTTCATATTGATGATGAAAATCGACAGGTTACACCAGACTCCGGTATATCCTGGAAGAAGTATGGCCCTATATATATTAAAAATAGGTCTCTCAGTGTGATTCAACCTGTTCCTTATGTTACTTCAAAAGGAACTCTCCGTGTTTTAATGCGATCTTTCGAAGGCATCGGTAAAGTTTGCATGTCAGAATCCAATGATGGTGGCCAACACTGGGATTATGTCAAGCCTACCGAGCTTCCCAACCCAAACTCAGGTTGGTGTGTTAATCCTGTTTCTTTGCTGCCAACAGAAATGATTCATCTCTACTGCAAAGTAATGCTGTGAAAAACGAAAAGCATCTTGATCATTACCTTCGATTTCCCTACCGGCTTATAACATGAGCTGCATTCGTAGGTATCGATGGATTAAGCTGAGGGATGGCCGCTTCTTGCTTGCTTACAATACAATCTCAAGGGGTGTGCTTAAAGTTGCACTGTCCACGGATGATGGTGATTCATGGGACGAAGTTTTAACACTAGAAGAGAATCTGGAAATGGAATTCTCTTATCCGGCTGTTATCGAGGATAGTGACGGTCTTATTCACATCACTTATACATATGATAGGACCCAGATTAAGGTAACAACTCTATTTCTGATAGCGGAAATGAATCGATTTCTTTCCGTGGTACTTATTATTTACGTATCTGCTATTATGTTATTTCCTTGTGATCATTCACATCCTGCTAACATCGAGTGCATCCGAGGATCATGGTTTAATTTGTGCAGAAATTTACTTTTGCAGCATGTCATAGTTCAGCCGAATTGATTCGTGATAATCGTCCGGTAAAAGTGAAGGTGAACTTGCAACCAATGTTCCAGATCCCAATGTATAAGCTTCTTTGAACTGTTAATAATCAATAAAGTAAAACCAGGGTTTGTATCGGAAGAATCCATGTTTGTGAGAGTAATAAGATTTTCTTATCATTGCTTTGCAATGTAACATTGTTGTCTTTGCTATGTAAGAGTTTGTATTAATAAGATTGACGTTGTTGGGTTCGAATTGGATCCCGAATAGTGTTTATTTATGTTACTCTTATCCTTTATTGTAATTCTAATGATTGAAGATTTATTCACGATTCAAATATTTAAAAATAAAAAGTAATTTTCAAATAATACGAGATATAAAGTATGAAATCTTTAGATTTATCTGTGTTGTTACATTGTCAGTGATAACAGAGGTTAAATTTAAGAGAAAATCGCCTCAGTGACCAAAAAAAAGTTATAATATACGATTTTAACCAACTTTTTTTGGATTTGCCAAAATGACCAACAAAATCGCAACGCGAAATAAAAATCGCAACGCGATCCCCAGAATCGCAAATCAGTTTCCAAAATCGCAACGCGATTATTGAAAATCGCAATGCGATAGTACAAATTCGCATTGCGATTTTCCAAAATCGCAACGCGAATATGAAAATCGCAACGCGAACACATAAATCGCAACGCGTATCCGTAAATCGCAACGTGTATCCGTAAATCGCAACGCGTATGGGTAAATCGCAATGCGTATCCGTATATCGCAACGCGTATCCGTAAATCGCAACGAGAATCTGTAAATCGCAACGATAATCCGTAAATCGCAACGCGATATTTAAAGCGCCATTATAATCGCTACGCGTATTTTATTTTCAAATTACAAAAAGAATATTAAGACAAAATCCCGTAATCGCAACTCATAACCTAAAACCTAAAATCACAACTCAGTCCCATCTCCATCTCTCACTCTCTACGGCGAAGAAATCCGTCCCCATCTCCGAAGATTTCCGTCCCCATCTCCGGCGAAATCCCTCACAACCATTCACGGTCAGAAATCCCTCACAATATTCAGAAATGGAAAATCAACCTCCGAGGGTTGTTTTTTTAATTATTTTTATTTTGAAATGTTTGCATTATTGTAGGTTTTTCATATTGAAACTGATGATAAGTTTACTGGTCATTTCAATAATAGATTAACCATTTCACTTAGATTTCATTTCGCGTTACGATTCTGTCGTTGCGATTTTCATTTCGCGTTGCTATTCTCTGTTCCGATTTTCAAGTTAGTATTTGTCTTTGTCTTTGTTCTGTCTTTTGGTTGAAGTAATGCAATCCATTCAAGTTTCAATTTGCAGAAGAGTCGCAGAGATAAATGAAAATCGCAACGAGAGAATGACTGTCGCAACGAGAGAAATGACAATCGCAACGAGAGAAATCGCAACGCGAAATGAAAATCGCAACGAGAGAATCGCAACGCGAAACCAAAATCGCATTGCGATTTTCATTTCGCGTTGCGATTCTCTCGTTGCGATTGTCATTTCGCGTTGCGATTCTCTCGTTGCGATTGTCATCTCGCGTTGCGATTCTCGTTGCGATTTTCATTTCAACCAAAAGACAAAACAGTGTTGCAAATTTTAGTTTCAAGAATAAACTACTACTTTTTATGTTTATTGTTTTTGGTATATCTTCACAGTGTAGTTTTTGGTATATCTAACTGGTATGTTTATTGTTTTGTAGAAATTTTTTCGGCTCAATTGACCTTGAGAAATAAAGTTAGCCTGGCCACACAATTGCAAAGAAGCTTTCACCTGCTCAAAGACAATTGTTTGAGGAAACCTGCTTCGGGCCATGGCTGAGAGTACAGCATCCGGGTGGAGATGCTAATTTGACCCATTGTGGCTTCAGACCATGACATCAAATCTACCCGACAGTATACAACGTGGTGAGGAAGAGATATGGTTTCATTTTCCACCAGCGTATACTTGTTTTGGGCGGAAGGAGTTCTGCTTAATCACTGGTCTACGATTCGGACACGATGATGTAGGCCGGTACACTAGTCATATCGCCGCCCATCATGGTTATCCGGGTTTTTCCGGATGAGTCAATGGAGAAGCCGAACCTATGTCGACGACCTGAAGAAATTGTTTAATAAGAAAGCTGGTTTCACTCGGATGGATGACGTCGATGTTGTCCGAGTATGCCTTCTACTACTTGTGTATGCCGGCTTTTTAGGCAGAGAGGCCAGACAACCTATTCATCGGGAGCTAATAATATTGGTAGAGGACCTGAATGCATGGAATCTGTTCCGTGGGGTTCGTATATATGGAAAGCTACCTGGACTAAGTTGTCGTCTGCCTTTGATGACCGCAAAGTTTGCGGGGCGATGGGTCCAAATACACTTTGTCAGGCTTTGTTTGGGCCTTTAAGGTAAGAATTTCTATATAATGTTTCTAAAATTATAATTATTTAACAATTACTAATTTTGTTATTATATTGTTTGTAGATTTGGATATTCGAGGCTTTCCCAGCATGCGTACATATGCAATAAAAACGTCAAATGATATTCCCAGGGCTTTTCCTGGAAGAGGAAAACTCTGTTGGATTGGGAAGACTTAATACCATATGCCACAATAAATAATGTAAGTTAACACAAATACTTTCATATAATATATAAACAAGTTATTAATAGTAGAGTTTAACTTTGTTTGAGTTTTTATATTTAGGAGGCTAACATTCCATTACAAGACTGACACCCACGGAGGAAGAGCTTGCCACTGATTGGTGGCAAGCTAGTCTGAATTTTTTTGATGGCACGGATGATGAGCAGCATCCACTTCCTCCAATTCGAGAGCCATCACCTCACCTAGAGCCATCACCGATCGACCCGACTACACCTCTAGAACGAGAGCCATCACCTATCCCGTCACATCACGAGCCTCTTCTCCACCATCACCTCATGATAGGCGACCGGCAAAGATGCCACGACTCCTATCCCTGTTCTCCACCTCCACCTCAACGGGATGAGTCAAGGGAGTTACGTGATGAGGTCAATGCCTTGCGTGAGGAGATCGGTACTTACGCGATAACGATGGTGCATGGCGTGTGGATGTGTCAACTTTACGTGGTGAGGTTGCCGCTCTACGTGAGATGATAGTATCGTTGCAGAATGAGGTTCATACTCTACGCAACGAGGTAAGTTTAAGATTTTCCATATTTACTTAATGATAAATTTACTCGTAATTTCACTTAGATTAGCCATTTCACTTAGATTGCTTAGTAAATTTATTCGGTTGCTGCCAATTCTGCTAAACTGTGTATTCTTTACACTGTGAAATAGTATTTGTCTTTGTTTTGTCTTTTGGTTGAAAGTAAATTTGTTCGTTGCTGCCAATTCTGCTAAACTGTGTATTCTTTAACACTGTGAAATATATTTGTTTTTGTTTTGTCTTTTGGTTGAAAGTAAATTTGTTCGGTTGCTGCCAATTCTGCTAAACTGTGTATTCTTTAACGTGAAATAGTATTTGTCTTTGTTTTGTCTTTTGGTTGAAAGTAAATTTGTTCGGTTGCTGCCAATTCTGCTAAACTGTGTATTCTATAACACTGTGAATAGTATTGTCTTTGTTTTGTCTTTTGGTTGAAAGTAAATTTGTTCGGTTGCTGCCAATTCTGCTAAACTGTGTATTCTTTAACACTGTGAAATAGTATTTGTCTTTGTTTTGTCTTTTGGTTGAAAGTAAATTTATCCATTCAAGTTTCAATTTGCAGAAGAAGAAATAGTTTACTTTCGCAACACGAAACTTAAAATCGCAACGCGAAACCAAAATCGCAACGCGAAATGAAAATCGCAACGACAGAATCGCAACGCGAAACCAAAATCGCAACGACAAAGCAACGCGAAACCAAAATCGCATTGCGATTTTCATTTCGCGTTGCGATTCTTTCGTTGCGATTTTCATTTCGCATTGCGATTCTGTCGTTGCGATTTTCATTTCGCGTTGCGATTTTGGTTTCGCGTTGCGATTTTAAGTTTCGTGTTGCGAAAGTAAACTATTCTTCTTCTGCAAATTGAAACTTGAATGGATAAATTTACTTTCAACCAAAAGACAAAACAAAGACAAATACTAACTTCAGGGTATTAGTTTGAAACATATTTTTCTTTGTTATCTGATGCATTTTGTGAACTATGATAGAATAATGACTTGGGTGAATACATGCAAGTTTGAAACATATTTGTCTTTGTTTTCACTGTTTAAATATCATGTCTGTTTATTTACTGATTTTTGTATTTAATTATTTAGCGGCCCGATAGAGTGGATGCTTTACGTCGGGTTATGCTTGCACGACGGAGTTCACGCATCAGACAGCGTGCACGCTATTAAGTCTCCGTACACCCCAATAGTGCGAAGACACCGCAAGAAGAAGCCCGACTCGCCTGTCATCCCTCAAGAGTCCACTCCTATCGTTGAAGAGGCCCCCCCTATCATTCCTCGAGAGTCCCCTCCCACCGTTCAAGAGGCCACTGTCATCATTGAAGAGGTCCCTCCCACCATTCAAGAGCCCGATTCACATGGCGTCATATGTAGGCTTCTTGAGAAACCCTCTGACGTGCCGGACATGATGGATTCAAGTTGGCTCTTGTATGAGTTACCGGCCAGTACCATACCGGTATCTGAAGAGGAGAGGGAAAACTACCGGACACAATTCTGGATAACCTTTGGGCTAAGACCGCTGTTGATTTTTATCTACATGAGCGGAGCCAGGGGTGTTTCACTGACATATGCAAGCTCACCGATGATATCTATTTGTTGCTTGATCGGTCTTGGTGGGGCGTATTATTAGGGGTCGAAGACAATGGCTATTTCGATGGGGGGGGGTAAGTCTTTATTTTTTCTTATATTTCAATTTGATTAATTTTTTTTTTAAATTTATGTAAGTCACTAATATATGTCTTTTTTGTAAAACAGCATATCGATGCGTGGGTGACACGTCTTCTAATAATAAGAAAACTTAAGAAAAATAAAAATACGATATACAATTATGCCGACGTCTTTTCACGCCGTTCACTTGAGAATGCACGAAATGAATCATTTGATTTGGGCAATGGACAAGCTAAACTTTATCCTGCATGGTGGGAGGTCGATAAGGTTAGTATTTATTTTAGATTGAGTTTAAAGGTTTTATGAA